TAACGGGGAAGGGCACCAAGTCCCCTTGTGAGGGTAGGAACCGTAAGCACAGCATCCAGGAGGCAGGCAGGATTGCCTGCTGTGCCCACAGCATTGTGGTCTGGGTAATGAGTCTCAGCTCCTCAGCTCACCCCTTACACCTGCACCTTCTGCAAGTGGGTCCCGTGTCCTCCGAACAGGAGGGAACATGGGGTCAGCTTTTGCTGGTGCTCTGGAGAGGAGCTGGAAGCCTGTTTGTGCCTTTCCACTGCCCTGAGCCTCACAGCTGGCAGAAGGGGGCAAGCTTCAGGCATGAGTCCTGTGAGAGCTCTGCTGCTTTGCTTCCAGGCCCTTAGGAATAATTTCCTCTGGCCTGAAAGGATCCTGCCAAATCTGAAGTTAAAAGGAGCTTTTTGTATGGAAATCGGGTGCTTGCGTTATCTGCATGTGAAATTACCCTTAAAATGGAGAGGCTGAAATGGCTCTCCAGGTGCTCACTTCTCATCAGAGCTGCACAGAGACCTGCTGCTCAGTCCGCAGGAGCAGGATGCTTTTGCAGGCGCAGTCGCTCGCAGGAGTGGCAGAGGGCCAGTGCCACCTCCTGCCCCTCTGTGGCTCCCAAACAGGGCAGTGGGTGCTCGCTGGGGCGCTTGCCTCTGGGTGGGGGTTTGCAGGGGGTGGCAGTGCCCGCCCCAGCTGCGCAGCCTTGGTTTGTGTCAGTCCCTGCGGCTCTGCTCGTTTTCTCCATTGCGGCTGTATCCTCTGGCCCTTGGCACCCACCCTGTCCTGGGTGCTAGAGCTGGGGTCCCCGGGACAGGCTGGTCAAGGGGTGGGTAGTGGCATCCCCAGAAGCTGCTCACTAATGGGGTTTGAGGTCATTAGCTGAACCTGCGTGCACCAATGCCATCACGCGCTGCTTCACGTCACAGGGGGCAGCACCCTCCTGCTGTCCCCAAAAACCCTCTTCTTCTTGCCAACTCTCCCCAGCCGTGTCCAAGGGCTGCGGCCACGTCCCCGAATAACTCTGCTGGCCCCTCCACAAAGGAGAACTAAACTTTTTCTGGGAAAACCATGCCAAGTGGCTGACAAACAGATATTTTTCCCTTCTCTCCCTTCCCTGCTGGGCCTGTGGGATCAGGACTGCTGGCAGCTGGGGTGCTTGCAGGCTTGCTGCTGGTGGGGAGCCATTCCTGCAGGATCCCCCCAGCTGGAGGCACCTTCCCCGGATCCAGACAGAGCGACCTTCCCTGAAGGACGTCCTCTCTCCTCTGGCTCCACTGTATCTAGCTAATAACTGAGAGCCTCGGCTCAGCATCTGGGCTGCCCCACTTGCTCTTTCACCTCCTGAGCGCTCGCTGCTGGCTGTTCCTGCTGACTCTGCGGTGTTGCAAAAGCTGAAGCTGCCGGTTAAAGTCCGGGTAAACAGGTTGCAAAGCCCTGGGCAGCCCTGGCGAGGGAGGGGGGTTGGAAGAAGCTGCTGCTCGTGGGCAATGGAGTGATTTATTTGCACAGAATAAGGCTTCTGCTGGAATAAAACGGCACGGGGAGAGGACGCTCGACAGCAGAGTGGGACCTCTGATGGATCTCGATTCCAGAGAGGAAAGGGGCTGCAGGGCGGGTGGTTTGTGCCGCCCCATCTCTCTGCAGGCAGAGGAAAACAGATTAAAATTGCCCCAAGTCACGGAGCGTGTCTGGAGTCCCTGCTCCGTGCAACTTCCCATGGGATTTGTGGCCAGAGTAATACCGGGGGGCAGGGAGGGGACCTGGCAGTGCAGGCAGCAGACATCCCTGAGCAGAAGATTCTCCTCTGGGTGCGTTTCCCTGAACAGACCTGTTCGCCTGCCCTGTAATACACCTGTGCGCTGCTGCCCAAGGGGTGTTGGAGCGTGTCCTGGCAGCCTTTGGGCAGGGTCTCCGGCGAGTGGTGATGGAGGCAGTCAGGGTGCCAGTGTCCAGCCGTGCCCCTGCCAGGGTGACGTGTATGTGCCGCAGTGTGCCAGGGAGGCAGCCGCTTTCGGTGGCTCTGGGATGGGGATGCTTTTTGCATCCAACTCCCCGGTTTGCTGTGGGGAGCCAGTGCGGACGCCCCATTCCTCCTTCCTTGGCTTGGGCGGCCTCAGTGACCCAGTGGCTGCCCACGCTGTCCCTTTGCCGGTACGCTTCACAGGCTGCTGTGGATGTGGCTTTGCCCGTGGGATGCCGGGCAGAGCCCCTCAGCCTCCCCTGCGTGGACAAATGCCCTTAATCCTGGTGGCTGCTGAGGTTGCAGGAGGTGCAGCATCCCACCCTGTGCCGTTTCGCATGGCTGCTGTGAGCCGGGATGCTGGTTGCCCCTGGACTGGTGCTTGTCCCGGGTGTTTCCCTGCTGACTGGCTCCCAGAGGTGCTGGGGCAGCAGCTGGTGCTCAGGGACCGAGAGGGAACAAATATTTACAGCTCTTAAAATGTCCAGCACTTCACATCTGCAGTGTAGGAGGGAGGGAAGTGGCCTTGGCAGCACTTGGGGCATTCGTGTGGCTGCAGTGGCAGCGAGGCTGGTGGCATAGTGGTGTGTAGCAGCATGGAAAGGTGCCAGCCAGTGCTCAGCTTTTCAGGGACCATTGCACCCAGCTGGAGGACGCTGCTCCTCATTGCGCTGCTCACCGGAGACCTGCCAGCTGCTCCCACAGGAGCCGTTTGGCTTTGCAGGAGAAATTACAGCGCTCGGCCAGCCCCCGTGCCGCGGGACCGGCAGCGTCCGCCATCTCTGACGGACGCTCCAAGGACGGGAGAGGGTTGAGGGGGCAGCGGGAGAGCTCTGGGGACCCTGGGGACGGTGGCTGTCCTCCCGTGGTGCCCCGGGGGAGAGCCGGCAACTGGCCACAGTGGCGCGAACCGGCCTCGCTGCGGCTGCCGCAGCTTCTTCCCACGCTGCCAAGGCCCAGGGTGCCGCGGAGGCGTAAAGGCCGGCGGCGTCGCCCATCGCCGCCTCCCGGGAGGTGCCTGCTTGGTCCCGGGCTGAGCAGCTCCGGCCTCTCCTGGGAACTCAGGGAAACAAGGGGCCTTTGTCCGCTGCGGTGGAGCCGGGCTGGCCTCGAGCCCTGTACCCGGCACCCCACGGGGCCGGGATGCTGCCAGGCTGGGCCGGCAGGTCCTGCCCTGGGTATGGGGGACCGGCGCGCGGTGTCACGGTGTCCCCATCCCCACCATGCCTATGGGAGGAGGGGGATAACTCTTTGGGCACGGGGCTGGGCTTTCCCGTCGTCCCGGCTGTGCTGAGCACTGGTATGGCTTCTTGGCTACCTTGGGGAGGATGAGCGCAGCCCGCTGCTTCTTGTGCCTAGGGAAAAAAAAAAAACAAACCAGGATAAGGCTGTTTTAAGGTGGGTGCTGCCCAGCTGCTGGAGGGAGTGCAGCAAGGCTGCTTTCCTTTCCCTCTAGAAGGACGCAGCTGAGGGAAGGCAGCGGTGCCCCAGGGGATGCCAGCCTGCCCGCCGGGACCTCCCCACGCTGGGTGAGCAGTTTCACTGGTGGCACTCTGCGGGAGGGAGCTGGAGGCAGCACCAGAGAGATGAAGGGTCTCTCTTGTAAATTTGGAGGCTATACAGAAATAAGACTGTAGGAGAAACTCCCCTGGTCCGAGGAGCTGGGGCTGCCTGCTGTCGTCACAGGGAACAGCCATGGCCCAGCTCCCCGTCCCATGGGCCGCGGTGTCCCCTATCAGCGTCCCCTCGCAGGGTACTTCGGAGGGTGCTGATAAGCAGAGCTGTGCTCTGCCGTGCAGCGCTTGGCCGCAGAGCGGGATAACCCACCGCTGCACCCAGCCCCTGCGCCAGCCCTTCCCCTGATGGCAGCGTGTTCCCTCTGGGCCGTGACGAGGCTGCGGTGGCTGTGGCAAGAGCCGCGGTGCTGCTGAGTCACACGGAGGACGTGGCGGGGCCGGAGTGGCAGGCGGAGGCGGTATGGGAGACTGGGAGCTGGCAGCCGACCTGTCCCCGTGCTGTGCCGTGTCCCGCCGGCTGGGATCCAATTTGCCCTCCCTGGGCAAGGAGCTGGGAGACCCTCGGGGGCCGCTCTCGTGGGTGCTGAGCCCCAGTGGCAGCATTGCATGGCTCCCCACCATTGCACAGTGCATAGCTTTGCCCCAGAGTCGGCTCTTGCCGTGGCCTGGGCTGCAGCAGGGTTTGCCCCTGCAAGGCGTGGGGGAACCTGGCTTGGCCCCACATTTTCTCCTTGCACCGGCACAAAGAGCTCCCGCTGCTCGGCAGGACCAGGCTGCGCTTTGGTGCAGGGAAATGAGCTGCGCGGTTGTTAGCCGGCCGGCCGGGGGTGAGCCCAGCTCCTGGGGACCTCCAGCCCAGCTGGGGTCGGCTCCGCTGCCCCGAGGCACCTCGTGGCAGGGCCGGCTGTAGGGGCTTCAAGCGAGCCAACGGGAGCCCAAAAACCGAGAGTTGGCATCACTTGCTGCCAGGGTGCCGGCGCGTCCCCGGGCCACGGCAGGAAAGTCTTCAGCCGGTGTAATCAGCACCCAGCAGCCGCCGCCGCGTGAGCATGGGTTGGCCAGACGGGCTTGATGATAATTGCGCTTCTGCGCTGGCACAGCTGGGTCTGCAAATGGGCTCCTGCTGGCGCTGGGCGAGTAGTGCTGGGCTTGTGCAGCGCTGCTGGGCTCTGTCAGGTTTATAAATAAATGCAGGGTGTGGGGCTCCGGAGGGGGACAGGTGCCGTTGAGGGGGAAACAACGCTGAAGCAGTAGCCGTGGGTGCGGTGTTTTGCCCGGTTTTCTGACCCCTTTGGCCGATCGCCTCGCCGACTCTTGCCGTGGCCAGGCGGTGATGCCTGTGCCGGGTGCCAGGTTGGCGCAGGGCCCCGCTGCCATGTGAAGTCCCCAGGGGTTTGGCGAGGCCAGGGACACCGCGTCCCAGCCCAGACCTGGCTGCCAGAGGTCCCGGGCTCAGCCGTCGTGGAGCCGGCAGCAGCCGCGCAGCGCTGGACGGGCAGAGAGCTGCTCCCGGCCCCAGCGTCCCCTCCTCTCCCTCCCAGGTGGCCTGGCCGGAGGGATCGAGATCTGCATCACATTCCCCACCGAGTACGTGAAGACGCAGCTGCAGCTGGACGAGAAGGCAAACCCTCCCCGCTACAAGGGCATCGGTGAGCGTGCGCCCGGTGCCCTGCCCCAAGCCGCCGGCCGGATTCGGAGGCTCTGATGGAGGCTGGTTGGAGCTGGGGGGGATGAGCGGGGTTTGGCGGGGTGGCACGGTGGTCCTCGGCGTGGCGGATGACGGCGGTGGCCTCTCTGTTCTGCCGTAGGGGACTGCGTGAAGCAGACTGTCCGTGACCATGGCGTCCGGGGGTTGTACCGGGGGCTCAGCTCGCTGGTGTACGGCTCCATCCCCAAGGCTGCCGTCAGGTAGGTGTCCCCCATGGCATGGGGTGAGTTGGAGGGGGGACCCTGGGCAGCAACAAAACGAGGGGGTGGGTTTGCCCTTGGGGTCCCCAGCGGCACTTTGCCGAAGCCGGGCACTTTCCCGGACAGGGACGGTCCTCTCGCAGGGTGCGTGGCTGCTCCTGGAGACAGACCCAGAGCAGGGGGGTGCAGCCCCCCCGGCCGGGCACCCGGGGGATGGCACGGTGGCTCCTTCGCAGGTTCGGGATGTTCGAGTTCCTCAGCAACCAGATGAGAGACGAGAAGGGGCGGCTGGACAGCACGCGGGGCCTCGTCTGCGGGCTGGGCGCCGGCGTGGCTGAGGCCGTGGTGGTGGTCTGCCCCATGGAGACCATAAAGGTGGGTGGGAGGCAGCCACCAGCGTCCCCCCGCCCCGGCACCCTTCCCCAGGCCGGGTTGGGAGGGGGCGAGAGCCAGGGATGCCCGGCTTTTGGAGCCCTGAGGGCTGCGTGGGTTTGCTTGGGCTGGTTTTGTAGGGGAGGAGCTGATGTTGGAAAGCCCCGTGGAGAGGTCAGGTCCGGCAGTTGTGGCCCTTTCCCCGCTCCAGGGAGGAGCCCCCCCACCCACGAGCCATCCTGTTGCCTATTTTAGTACCGTAAAACCCACGTGGTCGCTCGCAGAGGCAGTTTCCCAGGTTTTCCTCTGCAAAATGCACGGCTCGCCATGGGCAAAGGCTTCCTCTGTGGTCTCACCTGGCGTTGTCTGGCCACGTGGGTCAGCTCCGATCTCGGGACCGTCCCTGGAGCAAGGCGAGAGGTGGCCGGCAGCCCTCTGGGGCCATTGCATCTCTCCTTGCCTCAGCCAGGACGAGCACATCGTCTCCCCACAGGTGAAGTTTATCCATGACCAGTGCTCCCCCAAGCCCAAATACCGCGGCTTCTTCCACGGCGTCCGGGAGATCGTTCGGGAACAAGGTGAGTCCCGGGGAAGTGCCACCCTGATCCCCTGGGTAGTCCCATGCTGCGGGGACGGGGCGGGAGATGGGGGACAGGTACCGGCTGGGACCGGCAGCCTGGGGAGGTTTTTCTCTGCCTGGGTGAGGCTGGTGCTCCTCTCCAACACCCTCTCTTGCTGCAGGACTGAAAGGGACCTACCAGGGCTTAACCGCAACTGTTCTGAAGCAAGGATCAAACCAGGCCATCCGCTTCTTCGTCATGACCTCCCTCAAGAACTGGTACAAAGGTACGGTGCCCCCGTCCCCCCAGGCCACCCTGGCTACGTCGCTGGCTCCCCCAGCCCATCCCTGGGAGCTGGGCTTGGCCTTTCCATCAGCACACCCTCCACTTCTCGTGGCTCGGCCTCTTGTGATGGAGAAAGATGAAAGCCAGGGCATGTGGGCCCCAGCGCATGGGCCTGAAGGGTCCTGGTGCTGGAGCATCAGCTTGACCCCCACCCTGAGCCCCTCAGTGCTGCGTGGGCTCTGCGGGGCTGGTGCTGCCGGATGGTCACCTCCAAACACCCTGGTCCCCAGCTCAGCACGGCACAAGCCCTGACCACGAGCAGCCAGACCTGGGACCTTCCTTGCGGGGTCCCTCAGGGATGCCGTGCTTCATCCCCACACCACCACTCTGCCCTCAACCTCTCCTCCTTCCCAGGGGACGATCCCAACAAGGTCATCAACCCCTTCGTCACGGGAGTGTTTGGAGCCCTCGCCGGAGCTGCGAGCGTCTTCGGCAACACCCCCTTGGACGTGGTGAAGACGAGGATGCAGGTATGGCAGCGGGACGTGGCGTGGGACCGCTCTGCCTGCGGCAGGCTGGGCTCACCCGCTGTTTGGGAGCCGTTTTGTGCAGCCCCCGGGGCAGGCGCCCGATGTTGGCGAGGTTTGGGAGACGCCTGGGGACGCTGACCCCTCGCAGCCGGGCTGTGGGGGTGCTGGGAAGCGTTTGCACGGAGGTGGGGATGCTCATTGCTGGGTTTGGTGGCCCGTAGCAGCGAAGGGGGATCGGTTCCTCCTGGTGCACCCCCAGCTCTCTGCCTCCCCCATGAAATCCCCCCAGATGCCCCCCTGGCTCCGGCCTCTGACCCTGCTTTTCCCATCCCGCAGGGGCTGGAAGCACACAAGTACAAGAGCACCTGGGACTGCGCCTACCAGATCATGAAATACGAAGGGCCCCTGGCGTAAGCCCTGCGGCGGGGGTGGGCGAGGGGCGGCAGTGGGGTCAGCCCCAGTGGGGGGGGCACGGGGGGTGGCCCGGGGTGGGGAGAACGGGTGAGGAGGGGGCTGCGAGGGCGCCCAGCCCCACAGACCCCCTCTATCCCCGGCAGGTTTTACAAGGGCACAGTGCCTCGCCTGGGCCGCGTCTGCCTTGACGTGGCCATCGTCTTCGTCATCTACGATGAGGTGGTCAAGTTCCTCAACAAGGTGTGGAAAACGGACTGAGGGGGGCCGGGCCGGGGCGGCCCCCGCCACCCTCGCCCCGCGGGGCTGCAGCTGGAGAGCCACGACCAAGCCCGCGGCTGCCGGCCGGCGCTGCCCGGGGCCGATCCTGCCCCACGCGCGCACCCTCCCCCCAAACCCAGCCACCTTTATGTTTAGGAACAGGCTCTGGAGCAGGTTAAATTATTAGTTGTGTGCTAAAAGGAGCGGGGAGAGAGCAGCATCCCAGCATCCAGAACCCCAGCATTCCAGTTACGCCCCCCCCAATCCCCTGGTGACACGTTCCCCCTGGTCCCGCATCGCCTGCCAGGGCTGGTTATCCAGGGTGAGGTGTCCTCTGGGACAGTGGACCTGTGCCCCTAGGGTCCCCGGCAGCCAGGAGCTGCCGGCTGCCTGGGGGGGGCAGCTCTTTTGGGGGTGCTGAGAGTCTCTCGGAGCCATGTGGGTACGATGGCCGAGCTGTGCACCAGGCATCGCAGCTGGCAGAGGCTCTTGGGGCTGACACTGCGGGCTGGGAGCGATGGACCGGGTCTCCCAGCGGCTCTGGGGGGGGGGGCCCACCAGCCCCGCACCCCCTGGGACGGGAGGGCAGTGACCCACTGGCACAGCCCCAGGCTCTCTCCTCTCTTCTCCCTGCCAGCACCGAGACCCCTTCGGGTGCAGCATCCCAGCCCCCGGGTCCCACTCAGCCCTGGGTTGCTGCCCCAAATTGCACATACAGCCAGGCCTTTGATTCTCCTCGCCGCAGGGCCGGGATTGGGGCGAGCCGGGTGCCCCCATCACTTGCCGTTTACAGTCGAGATGCGTGTGCGAGCCGGGGTGAATAGGCGCAGCCCCGTGCTGCAGACTTGGCTCCTCAGCCGGGGTGCAAACCCCTTCTTCTGCCACATTCCCCCCCATCTGCCCTCCCGCCACCTCTCCATGGCCCCATAGGTAATCCCGTAGCTTTCAGAGCTTCACGCTGACCCACTAACACCCGTGGCCGTGGGGCCGGAGTCCTGCCCTGCCCTGTGCCGGGCTTGGCCCTGCCAGATTTGTGCCAAACTTCTCCCAAAGGAGCCGAGGGGGGCGTGGGAGCCAGGGCTCGACCCGTCCCTCCTTCCTCCTGTCCCCAGTGATGAACGCAGCCTTAACACAGGAGGGCGAAGGAGGAGAAGGAAAGCCTGGGCACGGTTTACCTGCGGCTTTCTGCTCTGAAGCCAGTGAGGGTTGGGTTGGCTTTTTCTTTTTTTTTTTTTATTATTCTGTTTTACATTTGCAATTTGAATAAAATCAGTCTGGCTTTAGCAGCTGCGTTGGCGTCCGGGCTGTGCTGAGCGGGCAGCGAGCGGCTCCAGCGATGCGGGCGGGTCGGGGAATGGGGTTGCCCATCACGTCGAGCTGGCGCTCCCAGGGGAACATCGGCTTCAACCCAGCGGTGCCCGTTCACAGATGCTCCCAGGCAGCTCTGGGGTTGCACCGTCCCATGCACGGCGTTTTATTAAGCATCCTGGTTAATTTCATGAAGTCCTCACCCCAGCCACAGAGCGAAGAGCCAGGATGGCGAGGGGCGGTGGAGCAGAAGGGAACAGGCTTTGTCCCCCCGCCCAGCCCAGGGGCGGTGCGGCCGGGGCTCCCAACGCCGCCTCGCTCCTCGCCCAGCGTTTGCTGGCTTGGGGGAAAGCCATCCTTTGGGGAGAAAGCCGTCTCTTGCGGGCTTGTAGGGTCCCGGTGCCATGCGGGGCCTGCTGCTCTGGGGGGGCTGGCTGCTGGCTGCCGGCTACCTGGTGGGTGCCACGGGCAGCTGCCGGCACCGGTGCTGCCCGGGCAGGAATAACGCCTGCTGGGTCGCAGGCGCCCGCCGGGCTCGCTGTTACTGCGACTCGTACTGCGAGAGGACGGGCGACTGCTGCGAGGACTACCATGCCACGTGCCGCCATGCCGGTGAGTGGCGGGAGGGGATGGCACTGGCCGAACCGTGTGCCGGTGGAGTCCCGGGGCTGAGGACGCCAGCCTGGGCCGCTGCTTTTGGTGGCAGGTGTTTGCTATTATCTGTTAGCCCCGTGCTTTGAGCAGCAACGGGATGTGTCTGGGGGCACCAGCTGGGCTGGATTTGGAGCAATATCCCGATTTTCCGCTTTTTTCCACGCCGAGTGTCTGGCTGCTCCCAGTGCAATAAGAGAGCCTGCAGGGGTGGCCTCTGGTCGGCAGCTGATGGTAGCGCTGTTGTTTCAAGCCTCGGCGTTGTCAGTGTGAGACGTGAGCAGGATGAGCCCCGGCATCGCCTCCGCTGCTGTTGCAGGCGGGGCCTTGGGGACACGGGAACCGGGGGGTGACAAAACAGGGAGTCTGGGCTTGGTGGGGGGGGTGTGTGTGCAGAGCCAGCCCGCCCTGGGGACCCTAAACCCAGGCAGGCGCCGACCGCGGCCCCCCGGACAATTGCAGCAGTCAGCCCTCCCTAATCTCTGGGGAGATTAGCGGGGTCCCAGCTCAGCGCGATGCAGAGCGGCGGCCAGCGGCACGGGTATAAAGGCCTGCGGAAGCGGTGCACGATGCCGCTGCCACGGCCCGGGATCGGGGGAGAGGGGCTGCCGGGGTCACCCCGGCCCTTCCTCCCCGCTCCCATGTGCTGCATCTTCCCCGCTCTCCTCCTTCCATCTTTCACGCCCTTGAAGCTCTCTCTTTTTCCCCCTTCTCCCCTGGCCCGCCAGCAGCGGTGGGCTGCGCGGTGGGACCCTGGGGGCCGTGGAGCGGGTGCAGCTCCCCGTGCGGGGTCGGCAGCAAGGCCCGCAGCCGCCAGGTCACCGTTCCGCCCCGGCACGGAGGGGAGCCGTGTCCCGACCTCAAGCAGCGCCGCGGCTGCCTGGGGGAGCACCCGACCTGCGGGACGGCCGAAGGTAACGCGGGTCCCGCCAGGGATGCCCACCTCCCTCGTGCGTCACCGTCCCCTGGTGCTGCCGCCGTCCCCGCTGCCTGTCCTGGGGTGTCTTTAACCATCTATGTGTCCCCCCCCTCGGCTGCTCTTCTCCCAGAGGTGGCCAAGATATTACCCGACTCCTTCAGCCGGGACTTCAGGGATGCCTGGCGAAGAGCTGGGCTGCTGCTGCCGGAGGAGCTGTCTGGGTAGGTACGGGGCTGGGGCCCCTCTGCACCCCCCCCAAAACTGCCACCCCTCTGCACAACCCCCTGCAGCCATGGCCCCTTTCCAACCCCCAAATCCAAGGCCTCTTTGCCCCCCCCCAGCCATTACCCTTCTATGGCCCCTCTGCACCCTTTCCTAGACCCACGGCCCATTTGCACCCCCCTAGAGCCAATACCCTTTTCCCCCACCCCAGCCCCGTGGCCCCTTTGCACCCCCCTACAAAACTATGGACCCTTTGCACCCCCCTCTTAGAGCTGTGACCCCTTTGCACCCCTCCAGAGCCACTACCCTTCCACCT